TAATTAAAACACAGCCCTCCTCACTAGGTCTCTCCCCAAGATGTGCCCAGCACCTGCTTGAGCAACGTCTTATTTTCTGTGGAATTGTTTAGAAAATCCAAGTGGAGACTCTCTACCCTCCTCATCATTCCACGGAAAATGGAGTCTCCCAATGAACACGCAGACAGGATCATCATACAGCCCACATGTGTGGACGGGGACGACACAGGCTCTGAGGGGGGAGACTATGTTCCCAGCTCTCCTGATGAGTGGTCAATGCCATTCTCACATCCCCGGCGGACAGATTTCCCTTTCTGCAGCCTGCATGGCACAGAGCCAGATGCACAGTGGCACGGCCAGCCCTTGCCCTGCACAGCCTGGCCTCGGGTCCCAGGTCCCTGTTCACCTGGCAGTGTCGTCCCTTCCCAGCCTCACCACTGAGGCTGCCATGGGGGCAGGTAGGAGAATAAAACAGGAAAACACTGCTAGTCAGCAAAAGAAGTTCACGCACGCGCTTTATAAATGTTCAAACAAGAGAAAAAGTCCTGGTTTGTCATCAGCATAACTGAAAAAGGTCAGAGTTCCTCCTGCTACCAGCAAATGCGGAACGGGCTTCAGCTGTTCTCAGTACCCTGAGTTGGAGGGGGACTTCCCGTCCCACTCCCAAGAAAGCGCACGTGGTGGGCGACCAGAGAGCAAAACAGGGTTATTCTGGCAGGGAAGGAGCACAGCGAACAGGGAGGTGTCCCCACCATCGCAGCAAGCGTCCCTGCTCTGCAGGCCCTGACCTGGGCCTAGAAGCACCAATGTAAAAGAAAGAGGGATTCAGCAAAGGAAAAAAAGTACCAAATACCACGTCTCTTGCTTGTACCCCATCACTTTTTTCCTCCCGTCTTAGTGCAATTGTTGACTGCGGCCAACTGCAGAGAAATCGCAGTAGCCCAGCTCAGCGGCTCCCTCTGAAGGCTCCACGCACTGGGCATGCTCCAGAGCCATCTCACGAAATGGAGGCAGCCCCAGCGGCAGGATTCCAGAGCTGCACGCGGCCGCCCAGGCACCTCCAGGCCTCCTTGGAAGCCGTTTAAACCCTGGCATTCACAACCATTTGAAAACAATCTGAGTGTTCTCGGATGGAAACCGTTTAACCAGACATTTATTGTTTCACCCTAAAATGTGAAGGGTTCTTCCCAGAAACCATCAACACAGCTCATCCCAAAAGCAATCACTGCTCGGAGGGCCTCTCGGGATTCGCTCTACTGAAAAAACACTAACCAAAACCTAGACGTGGAGTCTGGCGAGCAGCCCTGTCACAGGAGCTCAACTCACAGAGACGTTTTACCTCTAGGCCAAGAGCCCACAACATGACCGTGGGCAGGAAAGCAAACGGAAAACACCAGCTCGCAATGCACACCTCCCACCGGAGCTCCTGTCCCACGGCCAAGCATACCAGGGTGGGTCTCAGGGCAATGCTTCTGCCACAGGAGTAGCTCCAGGACGCACCTGCCTGGCGCAGGCTCAGCACAGCAGCCCCCCCACACTCAGGCTGCTCCCAAACATCACCTCCCGTGTCCACCCCAGCTCCAAATTTCTCACAGGCAGAGACCCTCATACAGCTATGCCAGCTTTCCAATCAAGACCAAGTTGTAGCTCTTAATACAAAACAATAAATATTTGAAGTCCTTTTTCCATAAAAATAGGGAATATTTTTTCAAATAGTGTATTCAGGTTCCATGCAGACTGCAAACTAAAAGCACAAATATTATTTTCTATTTTTAAGGTCACATGACAGTAAATAATACTAACCCTTCTCTATAAATGCTACTCTGTAACTCCCACACTTTCTGGTACAATATCAGTGTTGACTGCCCAAGAGTTGCAAAGTGGGTGGTCCAAGAGAGCTGGGCCCGCAAGCTGTGCTTACCAGCCAGGGAGGAGACACGCCAACAAAACACCAAGTCCGAAAAGCGATGCAAGTGATTCCTCTTTAAGTACACAGGTTCCACCCAGCCAAGAGCAAACAACCCAGACATGGGACTCCAAGTTCAAATGTAGAAAACACAATGTCAACAGATCCATCTTAAGGCAACAGAGCATGGTCATTTACAAACCTATCTGCAGCCCGCACAGAAACAGAAGAGAATCCTGCCCTCCACCTCGGCTCCCTTTCCCATATGGACAAAGAACAGAGAAGGCAAACTAAGGGAAATAAATGCATATGACTAATAAAAACAAATGCAACTGAAAATACATTTAAAGCAACAAAGACACCATTTTTCCACTTATTGAATTGGCAAAAAAAAAAAAGTAAAGTCTGTTAATAAGAGTATCGGGCAGGCGCAATGGCTCACACCTGTAATCCCAGCACTTTGGGAGGCGGAGGGGGCAGATTGCCTGAGCTCAGGAGTTTGAGACCAGCCTGGCCAACATGGTGAAACCCAGTCTCCACTAAAAATACAAAAATTAGCCGAGCGTGGTGGCGGGCGCCTGTACTCCCAGCTACTCAGGAGGCTGAGGTTGCAGTGAGCAGAGATCACACCACTGCACTCCAGCCTGGATGACAGAGCAAGACTGAGTCTCCAAAAAAAAAAAAAACAGAGTATGGATAAACAGGCAATTCTCATTTCATAAAATCTCTCTGGGGGCAACTTGGCAATAGTTATCAAATTTTAAAGACAAACATACCACCAGGCTCAGTGGTATGCACCTGTAGTCCCAGCTACTTGGGAGACTGGGGCAGGAGGACCACCTGAGCCCAGGAGTCCAAGGCCAGCCTGGGCCACACAACGAGAACTCCATCTCTTAAAACAAAAAAAAGTGGCCGGGCGCAGTGGCTCAAGCCTGTAATCCCAGCACTTTGGGAGGCCGAGACGGGCAGATCACGAGGTCAGGAGATCGAGACCATCCTGGCTAACACGGTGAAACCCCGTCTCTACTAAAAAATACAAAAAAAGTAGCCGGGCAAGGTGGCGGGCGCCTGTAGTCCCAGCTACTCGGGAGGCTGAGGCAGGAGAATGGCGGGAACCCGGGAGGCGGAGCTTGCAGTGAGCTGAGATCCGGCCACAGCACTCCAGCCTGGGCGACAGAGCGAGACTCCTTCTCAAAAAAAAAAAAAAAAAAAAGGGACATACCCCCTAGTTGAGCAGTTCTCCATTGGTAGTATAATTTTACTTATATAAAATCTGTAAAATGTATAATCTGTAAGATAAATTTTTGCAGAAATTATGCATATATTACGTAGTGCTTGTTATAATAATACACAGTACATATAATACTAATAATGGTATATGTGTAGCTTACTCTACAGATATACTAGCAAAAGTTCCCCAGATCACAGGGAACAAGGACATGCATTCAGCCTTCTCTCCAGGTGAGAGGGTCTGAGTGCCCACCCACAGAAGGCCAGTTATAGACAGTTACTCCCCTACAAGGGAATATCCAAAAGCTCTCACAGAGGGTGAGAAAAGGCCGGTGTGCTCGCATGGGAAATCACAGTGGCCACAGGGAGGGCAGAACAGGGTGTCTATGATACCAAGACTCGTGTCAGAGAACAGAAAGATGCTGGTATGTGCACAACCATCTTTCTGGAAGGAATCGTGAGAAATTATTAATAGTGTGACATGTTAATTAAGATTAAGAACAGAAAGGGAGATGGGAAGTCTTTTACTCTGCACTATGCCACCTTTTCTTACTCTTGAGTTTATGTTACTTTTTCTTTCTCCTTGTGGACCTCGAGTGTGCCGAGGATTCTGAGCAATCCACTCTAGCACGCAGGATGCGGCCACCACTGCTCCACGCTGCTCTGCACCTGGTCAGCTATTTTTCATCACGCAGTGAGCACCCATTAACCCACCACTCACAAAAAAAATTAGGATCTTGTCAAGATTCAATGCCTAACCAGCATATGGCCCTCACCACCCCCATCACTGCTGCCTCTTCCCGCTCAAGCCAACTATCAGAACAAGACCCATAGGCTGTAGCTTCAAAGAAGAAAGTACCCAAATTAACAGGCTAACAGCAAATCCATCTAAAGAAGGTACAAATGAACACCAAAATAAATTCAAAGAAAGGGACAGGAAAGAGATAATAAAATGAATGGATATTTATACTATAAACATAGGTTAAAAATTCCAGGCTGGGGCTGGGCGCAGTGGCTCACACCTGTATTACCAACACTTTGGGAGGCTGAGGCAGGTGGATCACCTGAGGTCAGCAGTTCGAGACCAGCCTGGCCAACATGGTGAAACCCTGTCTCTACCAAAAGAACAAAAATTAGCCGGGCGTGGTGGCGTGCACCTGTAATCCCAGCTACTAAAGAGGGTGAGGCACAAGAATCACTGGAACCCGGGAGGCAGAGGCTGCAGTGAGCAGAGATCACGCCACTGCACTCCAGCCTGGGTGACAGAGAAAGACTCTGTCTCAAAAAAAAAAAAAAAAAAAAAATTCTAGGCTGGCCGCGGTGGCTCACACCTGTAATCCCAGCACAAGGTCAGGAGTTCGAGACCAGCCGGGCCAACATGGTGAAACCCCGTTTCTACTAAAAATACAAAATATTCACCCAGTGTGGTGGCAGGCACCTATCATCCCAGCTACTCGGGAGACTGAGGCAGGAGAATCACTTGAACCCGGGAGGCGGAGGTTGCAGTGAGCTGAGATCACGCCACTGCCCTCCAGCCTGGGCAACAGAGCAAGGCTCTGTCTCAAAAAGAAAAAAGAAAAGAAATTCTAGGCAGGGCGCAATGACTTACGCCTATTACAGTCCCAACACTTTGAGAGGCCACGGTAGGCAGATCACCTGAGCCCAGGAGTTCAAGACCAGCCTGGGCAACATTGAGAAACCCCATCTCTACAAAAAATACAAAAATTAGCTGGGGATTATGGCGTGCGCCTGTAGTCCCAGCTACTTAGGAAGCTGAGGTGGGAGGATCACTTAAACCCAAGAGGCAGAGGTTGCGGTGAGCTGAGATCTCAACACTGTACTCTAGCCTGGGTGACAGAGTGAACCTGTCTGGAAAAAAAAAAAAAAAAAAAAAACTAAACAAAAATATCAGCAATTTGAATTCAACAGTGTGTAAAACACACACACACACACACACATATATATATACTATCAGCAGATATTGTTGGGTATGTAACTCACCACATTAATAGATTTCTTGGCCAGGTGCAGTGGCTCACGCCTGTAATCCCAGCACTTTGGGAGGAAGAGGTGGGCAGATCACCTGAAGTTAGGAGCTCGAGATCAGCCTGACCAACATGGTGAAATCCCATCTCTACTAAAAATATAAAATTAGCTGGGTGTGGTGGCACATGCATGTAATGCCAGCTACTTGGTGAGGCAGCAGAGTCACTTGAACCCAGGAGGCAGAGGCTGCACGGAGCCAAGATCGCACCACTGCACTCCAGCCTGTGCAACAAGAGGAGCTTCATCTCAAAAAAGAAAAAATGGCGGGCGCGGTGGCTCAAGCCTGTATCCCAGCACTTTGGGAGGCTGAGACGGCGGATCACGAGGTCAGGAGATCGAGAGACGATCCCGGCTAACACGGTGAAAACCCCGTCTCTACTAAAAAATACAAAAAAAAACTAGCCGGGCGAGGTGGCGGGCGCCTGTAGTCCAGCTACTCGGGAGGCTGACAGGAGAACGGCGTAAACCCGGGAGGCGGAGCTTGCAGTGAGCTGAGATCCGGCCACTGCACTCCAGCCTGGGTGACAGAGCAAGACTCCATCTCAAAAAAAAAATATATATATATATAGATTTCGGCCAGGCGCGGTGGCTCACGCCTGTAATCTCTACTAAAAATACAAAATTAGCCGGGCGTGGTGGCACATGCCTATAATCCCAGCTACTAGGGAGGCTGAGGCAGGAGAATCGCTTGAACCTGGGAGGCGGAGGTTGCAGTGAGCCGAGATTGTGCCACTGCACTCCAGCCTGGGCAAAAAGACTGAAACTCCATCTCAAAAACAAAACAAAACAAAACAAAACAAAATATATACATATAGATTTCTTTAAAGATGCAGAAAAACAACTGGGTGCGGTGGCTCACGCTTGTAATTGGGAGGCAGAGGCAGGCGGATCACCTGAAGTCAGGAGTTTGAGACCAGCCTGGCCAACATGGTGAAACCCCACCTCTACTAAAAATACAAAAATTAGCCAGGTGTGGTGGCAGGCACCTGTAATCCCAGCTACTCGGGAGGCTGAGACAGAAGAATTGCTGGAACTCAGGAGGCGGAGCTTGCAGTGAGCCCAGATTGTGCCACTGCACTCCAGCCTGGCGACAGAGTGAGACTCCGTCTCAAAAAAAAAAAAAAAAAAAAAAAATGTAGAGAAACTACTTGGGGTAAAATTCACCCAAGTATGATTTTTAGAACTCAATAAATTAGGAATGGAAGAGCATTTCCTTACTCCAATAAAAAAGGATAGTTCTGTTGAGCAGTCTAGAAAAAAAAAGTTTTTAAAAAAAAAAAAAAAAAAAAAAAAAAACCATCCTAAATAGGAAAATATTGGAACATTCCCTTTAAAATCAAGAATAATCATGAAAGTAAAAAGAAACTAGAGAGACGGACAGACACATAGAAACGATAAAGCAAATGTGGTAAAATGTTCACACTTGGGGGATCTGGGTAAAAGGGCCTATGGGAATTCTATGTATTGTTTTTGCAACTTTTTTTGTAAGTCTAAGATTATTTCAAACTAAAAATTTAATAAAGTAATAAAAATAAACAAACCAAGAATAAAGACATCCACTAGGATTTTTTCTTTTCAACATCGTATCGTGTCCTGACCAGTACAATTAGACAAGGAATTTGAGGCCTGGGATTAGAAAGGAAGAAATAAAACTGCTATTATATGTTCTACAAAGTATTAGAAATAATAGTAGAGCTCAGCAAGATGACGGCGAGAAAGGTTAGACACTCAGTTGTCAGCTGTGTGGTTATTCTACAACAGCAGTAAACAGCGAGTTGCTGTAATTACAGAGAAGGTATCACTTACGATGGCACCAGAGAATCATCAGTCATCTAGGAATAAACCTGCAAAAGATGGCAAGACCTCTACAGGAAAAATTTTAAAATTTCATAGAAATATTTCTTAAAAACTGGCCGGGCGCGGTGGCTCAAGCCTGTAATCCCAGCACTTTGGGAGGCCGAGACGGGCGGATCACGAGGTCAGGAGATCGAGACCATCCTGGCTAACGTGGTGAAACCCCGTCTCTACTAAAAATACAAAAAACTAGCCGGGCGAGGTGGCGGGCGCCTGTAGTCCCAGCTACTCCGGAGGCTGAGGCAGGGGAATGGCGTGAACCCGGGAGGCGGAGCTTGCAGTGAGCTGAGACCCGGCCACTGCACTCCAGCCTGGGCGACAGAGCGAGACTCCGTCTCAAAAAAAAAAAAAAAAAAAAAAAAAGAAATATTTCTTAAAAACTAAAAGAAGACAGAAATATACTACGCTCACAAACAGGAAATATATTGTGAAGATGTAGATTCACACAAAATTGATCCATAGATTCACTGCAATTCCAATTAATATCCAACAAGATTTTTCACGAAATCTTAGGATTCTAGAGTTAATATTGAAGAATAAATGGCCAAAAATATCCAGAACACCACTGCACTCCAGCCTGGCCAAGACAGGGAGAGCCTGTCTCTAAAAAAAACAGAAAACAAAACAGAAACTCCCACATGTTTGAACTGTTGGGATACGGTATGTCAGGCTGATGAAGAAAGGAGGACTTGTTCAATACCTAAAGCTAGGAAAAATGATGTATACATATGAAGAAAGATTGGGTGAAAAAAATTTTTTTTGAGACAGGGTCTGGCTCTGTAACCCAGGCTAGAGGGCAGTGGTGCAATCTCAGCTCCCAGGCTCCAGTGATCCTCCCACCTCAGCCCTCCCTTATTAGCTGGACCACAGGCCACGTGCCACCATGCCGGTAATTTTGTATTTTTTGTAGAGATGGTGTCTCACTTTTGTTGCCCATGCTGGTCTCGAGCTCCTGAGCTCAAGCGATTCTCCTGCCAGCCTCCCAAGGTGCTGGGACTACAGGTGTGAGCCACCACGCCCACACATGAAGAAAGATGAAATTGAATCCCTACTTTCACATTAAGTTAAAAAAAGAAAACTCTCAATCACAGAAGAATAAGAAATTACATGCACAAAAACAAAACCTCGGCTAAGCACTACATACCTAAGTAAATACATTTTGGACTGCAAGATAAGAAAAGCCTCTTAAATACAAAAGAGGCCAAGCGCCAGTGGGCTCACATCTGTAATCCCGCAACTTGAGAGGACGAGGTGGGCAGATCACTTGAGGCCCATGAATTTGAGACCAGCCTGGGCAACATAGGAGAAACCCCGACTCTGCAAAAATACAAAAATTAGCCAGGCGTGGTGGTACATGCCTATGGTCCCAGCTACTCGGGAAGCTGAGTGGTAGAATCACATAGGCAGGGGAGGTCGAGGCTGCAGTGAACCATGAGTGCACCACTGCACTCCCAGCCTGGGGCAACAGAGACTGTCTCAAAAAAAAAGTAAAAACAGACCCGGTGTGGTGGCACACACTTTCATTCCCAGCAAGTCCAGCCTGGGTAACACAGCAAGACCCTGTCTCTAAAAATAATCAATTAATTAATTAATTTTAGAAATACAAAAAGGACTGTCAAACTAGGAGAATACATTCATAATACACAGAAACAACAAAAAATTAAGAATATACAAAGAACTGCAAAATAATAAGAACAAACCATGAAAAAATGGGCAAAGGACATCTACAGATGTTTCACAGAAAGGGAAACACATCCAGCCAAGTACCACACTGGAGATGTTCAACATTAATAAGAGAATAAGAAAAACCAAAAATAAGAAAAATACATTATGTTTTGGGAGGAAAACAATAGAATAAGATCTAGTATTTGATAGCACAACAATGTATTTAGATGTTCAACATTAATAAGAAAAATAAGAAAAACCAAGTAAGATGATAATGAGATGCCATTTTACACACATTCAATGGACACAAACTCCCCGGAAAGAGGGGGTGGGCTCGCAGGATGTCCTACAAATGGTTCAGCAGTTTCCACTCCAGCCCAAGGAGAAGAGACAACCCACAGAAGTGTTCCCTGGGCTGGCACAGTGGGCTTCACGCCTATAATACAGCCACTTCAGGAGGCTGAGGTGTGAGGATCCCCTGACGGTCAAGAAGCTTGAGACCAGCCTGGGCAACACAGTGAGACCTTGTTTCTACAAAACACCACACAGACTTTTTTTTTGAATAAGCCATGCATGGTGGTGTGCACCTACAGTCCCAGCTATCAGGAGGGTGGACGTGGGAAAACCACTTGAGCCTGGGAAGTTGAAGCTGCAGTGACCCCAAGGCTGCACCCACTGTGCTCCAGCCTGGGCTACAGGGCAAGACCCTGTCTCAAAACACAGAGAGAATTCCTTTTTCTATGCCATTTTATAAAAAGTCATTTAAAAAAAAACAAAAGATAATTGCAGATGATGATAAATAAACCAAGGTAAAGGGACAGAAACATAGGAGAAGCTACCTGAGTACAAGAACCAGGAAGGCAATTCTGAAGTCTGAAAAAGACCATGTCTGGGCCTGGGTGCCGTGGCTCATGCTTGTAAATCCCAGCATTTTGGGAGGCTGAGCAGGTGGATCACTTGAGCTCAGGCATTCGGACACCAGCCAGGGCCACCATGGTGAAACCTCATCTCTACTAAAAATACAACCTAACCAGGCGTGGTGGCACGTGCCTCTAATCCCAGCTACTCGGAGGCTGAGGCACGAGAATTACTCGAACCCAGGAGGCGGAGGCTGCAGTGAGACAAGGCCCCACCACGGCATCCAGCCTGGGTGAAAGAGAGACTCCATCTCGGGGATGGGGGGCGGGGGCAACCATTCTGGATAGAAAGAACTGCGATTGACAGAAGGAGAATTAAGAAGAAGGTAAAACATGGTGCACAGGCACATGAGGTAGTATTCAGCCATGAACAGAATGAAGACCCTGTCATCCGCAACAACAAGGATGGAACTGGAGGTCACTGAGTTAAGTGAAATCAGCCAGGCACGGAAAGACCAAACTTCACATGCTCTCATTTATTTGTGGGAGCTAAAAATTAAAACAACTGAACCAACGGAGATGGTAGAGAGTAGAAAAGATGGTCTAGGGCTATCACTTGTAGAAGCGGTATAAAATAAATTTTAAAAAGGATGGTTTCCAGAGGTTGGGAAGCGTAGTGAGTGGAGGTAGGGAGGTGGGAAGTGAAAACGGTTAAGTAACAAAAAAATGGAATAACAAAATAGATAACAAAAAAAATAGAAAAAGAACTTGTATTTGATAGCACAACAAAGTGACTAGAGTTAACAATAATTTATTGTACATCTTAAAAATAACTAAAAGAGTAGAACTGCAAATGGTCTGTAAAACAGGATAAATGCTTGAGGGTGCACGGACACGCCAATTACTCTGGTGTGACTGTATGCACCGTATGTTGTATCAAAATATCTCTGTACCCCATAAATAAAATACGCCTATTATGTACCCACAAAAATTGAAAATAAAAAATTTTTATTAAAAAAAAAAAGCGGCCAGGTGCACTGGCTCCCACCTACAACCCCAGCACCCTGGGAAGCCAACTTCCACTCAAACCACCACCCTCTCATCCTAACGACCGCGACAGCCTCTCACCTCACCTGCTGTACCCTGCAGCCAACTCAACACTGCCACGAGAACGACCTGTGGAAACAGAAGCTGCATTCTGCCACTCCTCTGCTCAGAATCGTCCAGTGGTCCCTCTAAGAGCAGCCTGTGAGACAAGCACCCTCTCCAGCTGAGCGGGCTGCCCACGCCTGGCTCCCGCTGCCTCCCCGGGACCCCCGCGCCTGGCTCCCGCTGCCTCCCCGGGACCCCCGCGCCTGGCTC